AATAAGAGAAAGCAGAGAGAATGTCCCGAAAAAATACGTTTTTCAGAAACATTCGTTTTATGTAAAATTGTTTATTTTGAAATTGTTTAAGTTTTATGCGGAAAGTTTCTACCATATCGCTCTTATTAAAATTACATTTATAAATGCAGTATTTAATAACTTTTAGCGATATCAAAAGGACGAAATACAATTTTAAGTCTTTAATATCTTATGTTTCAAATTGGTTCGAGCGCATTTCGTTACGCGTGCTCGAGATAAAAAATTAACGAAAATATCCGTGAAATAATTTACTCACCGACTGTTATGCACCTGCTGCACTCATATTTACTGATGGATGTCGATTTGCTTCGAAATTCCACGACGAAGATTCACTCATCTATATACAAATAATTCGCGAAAACGCACTCGATTACGATCGCGCCGTGTAAATTTATACGATTTAATACTACACTTTTGAAACGTATTTACTTTTATATCATACAGATTCGCGTATTTTACCTTCGACGCGCAAAAATTCACCGATGGAAAACGCATCAATGATTATTCCGGATCATCGTGAAAAAATCGATAATCGATACTTCACTCTCGATTGTATTTAATATTCGTGGTGCTATTATTATGCTTCGATGAGCAATTATTATTCACTATCGTATTAAGCGGGAGAAAAATATTACACGCGAGCCCTCGATATTTCACTCAATACCTAATCTACCGGCTCACTTTTAGTAGAAGCAACTACTGCCGAAATTAGTGATGAAAAGACAACATAAAGAATAGTCACGCGTGCGATAAATTTATACGATTTAATATTACACTTTTAAAAGTATTTACTTTTATACACACACTCACGTATTTCACGTATTGCCGTAATCAAAGCATCGGGCAGAAAGGTAAGCGAATCAACCATTCATTCAACGAGAAGCAGCAATTGTACAACAATTGGTGAGTTTGTAATTATCATAATTAATTATATGTGTTCGTACATGTGTAGCCTATATGCACCAAATTGATACGAATATGGTTAATAATAAATCCTCGCATATATTATTGAAAAATATTTATGAATAATATGATAAAATAATTATCTTACAATAATATGTCAAAAGAAAAGCGTACTTTTCATACATATTTCCTGCATTTTTTACATTAAAATTATTTATATGATAATAATTAACATAGGTATAAATAGAAAGAGAATATACCGACGTATTAAATTTGTATATTTAAAGAAATAAACAGATTTTATTTTTTTATCTTATTAAATGCAAATGAAAATGATTAATTTTTATACGTGTAACAAAAATGAAGTTTATAAATTGCACTCTATATTGCCACATTATCTACCATTTTTAATCTACTTAATACTTTTTCATACAAAAAAGCATTTACTTCTCGTTACCTTACTCGTTAACGTATAATTTTTTACTCATTCGCAAAGGATTAATTTATAAATAACATTTCTCACGCGAGATTTAATAATTTTCCTCACGCACGCAAGCTGTACAGTTTTTTTTTTGAAAAAAATAATAGAAAAAATAAAAGAAATACAAATTTTATTAATTAAATTTATTAATAACATCGTGTTTATATAATATATTATTAATATATAAATTTAATAAAATGTTTATTAATTGATTGAGGAAACTTTTGTCGAAAGAAATATATTGTCGAAAGTTTCTTTTATTAATAATAAATTGTATATTATTTATTTATTTTTTATTTCCTTAAAATTTTCATCTATATAAAAGTTAATATATTTTTAATGCATTATTTATATACAATAGATAAAAAAATTATTAATGTATGTATTTATAAAAAATAATTTACGTAAATTACTATAATAAATAATTTACAATTTATTATTAATAAAAGAAACTTTCAGCAATATATATTTCTTTCGACATCAGCTTGTTCAATCAATTAATTTAATTTTTTGACAAATTTTCTCGAAACTTATTAAACGCCATTGTTCTCAAGTCAAGAGCGGGTCAAGTCGGGTTTTTAGAAAACCGTCAGAAAATTTAATTACAAAGAACTTCATTTACGACAATATGCCGACCTGTAACAGCGCGTATAGTAGACCTTATAGAATCATCGTGCATGGAAACGGTTCTGCCATCAGCAGAGAGAGCTATATGAAACCCTGACGTGGCGGGCAGGTTGTAATTGTCGTCCTTTGTCCGTCATACGAGCTTGCGGAACCGCTCGTCGGTGCACCGCAAGCTTTACCGACCCCTGCTGGAACCACTGAGCCGTACAAGCATTATCACATCAGGTGCTTAATCCTTGGTTTATCACCTGCGATGCCGACTCCCTCCGACCTGTGCGAGAGAACGGTCTTCGCTTTCTTGCTGTCGCGAATTTACCGCTGACGCATCGTGAATTGAATGAAATTCCGAGGAAATGCTCCTAACAAAGCACAAGTGATTCAGTTTTATGCCTTTAATGCCATTTATTTTCTTCCTCGTATTATATTTATACCATATACAGAGTGTCGCAAAATTATTCTTGCCCTTTTCAGTTAATATCCTCAAGATTATCATATAGAATTAATCTTTTTTATCTAATAATGTGATTATGCGATATATATTTTTATATCACTTTATTATTCCTCGTATTATATTTATACAGTGTCGCAAAATTAGTATTGCTCTTTTCAGCAATATCCTCTCGATTATTAAAGAATTGATTTTATTTTTTAATCTAATGATGTGATTATGCGATATATATATATTTTTTATATCTCTTTATTATATTTACCATTTAAACTTTGTTTAACATTAAATTGTAAGTGAAAATTGTATTCAAGTCCGATTTGTAATTCGTAACAGAAATCACAAATTACGAGTCAGTTACTTTTTGCTCTACTCGATATTAGGTAGGCGATAAAATGGATCGTAAATACTCAAGTTACACGTAATAAATTTCAACTTTCTCTCTCGCGGCATTTCTCCCGTAGGCAACACTTATTATTTTAGTCGGCGGCAAGATGCGGAAAATAAAGAGAGGTATCGATAAACTTTGCTAAAGTGCGTCGCGCGGGCGCGCCATGGAATAACATAAATATCGCGGCAAAAGGTGCCGCCCAAATATTGCGAGCATTATGAAAAGCCATAAACCACTGCCCTAAGGGCAGCTGCTATGTGTACAGGATCGATATTCTCGCCGCGACTGCGGATCGTCCGTCGGCCGCAGACGTAACGTGCTATATATACGTGTATAAAATATACCCGCGAGAGGAGAGATTATAAAAGATGCCAACGTTGACGAAAAGCGATCGCTCGTATAGTCCGAAAATGGATATTGCTTGTTTCTCGCGATCGCGCGACAGAATTTTAAATCATTTTCGCGACGATTATGGAAAACGTTTTGAAAATTCGCTGCTGTCGAGAAAGTAATCGATCCTTGCCATGAAATTGCATGAAGAAGCGTGGTTCTTCCCGAGTTCGGTTTTATATGACGATGTCTATGAATGGAATATGTGCCTGCCACATTTCCTAAGATGAAGTTTCCACTAGTTGTCAAATTAAACACGCGAAGTAGATTATAATAAAATTATCTCTAAAAATAGCTCTCAATTATAATAAAATTGAACATTTCTTTAAAGACAACCTCCTCCTTACGTGTGTATAATATATAGAGAAATTATTATAGTATGTTTTATAGTTTTTACGAGCAAAATTTTTCAGCAGTTTTAATTAAAAATTCGTGCATTCACATTTGTGTTAACAAGAACTGCTCAGTTAGAAATTGTTTTGTTTCCTTTATTATAAGTTCTCTTTTCGTTTTCTCCTAAGTTTTAACGCAAACTGGTGAAACTCGAAATTTGTAAAAAAAGAAAAGGTATAAAATAACTTTTTTCCAATCTGTTCCAATAATCGATATTTGCAATTTTTTATATTGCGAACAATTTATTTCTAATACGCGATATTTGCATCACTATATCAAATCTACTTCAAAAATTACACATGAAAAATAAGAGACTCACGTTCGAATCTTGTTTCGTTGCGCTTATCGAATTAAAAATTGATGGATAAAAAATGGAGCTAGAAATAATTCAACATGGGTATATTAAAATGTTGAAGGTGAAGGAGGAAACTGTTATCGAGTCAATATTTAAACACTTTAGTAGAATCATTACTATATTTATTCTCAAAATAACTGATCGTCTTTTTTTGTCGTCGGACGAATAATCACGGTGAAATTTGACGATTGTCATCAGATAATTTCTTTCATTAAAAAAAAAAAACAGAAAATAATTGTGTGCTATTAGATCTATAATAATTGACAAATTCTCTATACTATATACAATTTGTTTTATTTGTTTAACCAGCGTGGATTCAATGTACTTTTTCACAAAAATAGCTTTGCTTTTTGTGAGAAAAATCATAGGATTTTTAGCCGCTAGTATATAGAACGATTCGAGATAGCACATCAATGAATTTCTATCGCGCTGTTGCATACCGTAACAAACGAGACTACGATAACATCAGATAAAAATTCGAAGGACTTTCTATCTGAAAGCTTTGCGTAAAGTATCGACATTCGTACACGTCTCGATCCTCTCATGAAAACCAGCATTCAACAGTTAACAATCTTTGCCAATCGGTTTTGTCATATCGAAAACGTATTGTTTGAGAATCGATAGAATCGATAAAACCTATCACTTGTCTGGTGATTCGCGACATTTTATATCTTTTATTATTATTCTATTTTTTTATTATTTTTATTCTGTGACAACTTTTTCATATTAATCGTAATACATTTTGCGATTACCATATCTTTGAATGCACTATCTTCTATATTATAGACCGATACATTATCTCTTTTAAAGTTAATTAATTAATTAAATTTAATTACACATCGAGAAAGAAAGAGAGAGAGAGAGAGAGATACAAATATTATATTCGGTATAAAAGCAAATGTTCTTTAAAATTATTATACATATATATATATTTTTTTTTATCGCGAGCAACGCAAGTATAATGGTGTCTACTCACTTGTTTCCGGAATTTTGGTATCATGAGCGACTAGAAGTTGGGCTGCGAGTGAGGCCTGATGACCGGAAGTACTCTCAGCCACGCATTCATATCTGCCACTATCCTCAGGCTTCGCGGAGGATATTACGACTTTCGATCTCCGCCTGTAAATCAAAGAGTTATTTATTTTAATGCTAAACTTATAATATTTCGCAAAATTTATAACCGCGACTATGATCATTTGTGATAACATATGTGGTAAAATCCAGAAATATAAATTAAACCTACAATGTATTAAGCTACAGTAATTATCTCTTCTCTCTCTCTCTCTCTCTCTCTTTTTCTTTATTTAAATTTTTATTATGCTATTAATAATATGTTACAGGAAAAGAGGATTTAAAGAGATTGCAAATCATTAGCTTGAAAATGATAGAGAGAAAGAGAAGCCGAAAAGATGATGTATTTATTTCATTGAATTATTCAATGAAACGCATATATACACGAATCGTTGTATTTGAGCGGATTTGATTGTCAGTCGTAACAAAATCCGGACTTTAATTATCGTGTTCACAAATCTGTGCACGCACGTTCATCAATCGACTTAACCGTTTTTCATTTCGTCAATCGCACGCGACAGTCCCGGAATTAACCGTCGCGGACGATTCGCATTACAGCGAATTTATCGACGCGTCGATAACGGAATTAAATAGTCGATTTGCCAATGCGGGTTCGAGAGAAAGAGCGGGAGATCGGAGCCGTTGACGCGTGCCGTGGTAATGGTTCAATAAGCTCGGTGCCTCCGACCGATATTTCGCTATTACGGACGCGAAACGGTCGAGTATATTATTCGTGATTTTAACGTAACCGTCGGACATTTTCCGTCTCCCATTACCTTTCCATTAGTTCCGAAAGCTCAGTATCTCTTCCCTGCGGTTATTACCACGTTACAAGATTACGTTATTATTACGTAAAACTTGACGTGATATTGCGCTTACGCTACCCCTAAGTCGTTTCTAAGTTGTATTCCAATTACCGAGTTGATTGCTCGTGCCGAAAATTCCGCAATTGGGGATTATACGGGGTATAAGAGAGAAAGATAGGGTGAGGAAAACAGAATTCGTACGTAGCGCACTAATGAAATTAAACGTAGTTGCATGATCGCAATGTGATTTTCGTCGTATGTGAGAGAGGACGTGAAAGAGGAGAATTAATCCGCAACCGCGGAACGGAGGGTTCCGAAAGATATTCTCAGTAAACCAATAATTGCATGTTATGGTCCTTAGCATATGTCGTTTAAAGCGGAACTTCGTAATTACTGATTATGTGGCAGTTACTTTGACAAAATAAAAGCCTTTTCATATTTTGTGCAAACATTTCGCATAATTAACTTTATTAAAGAAACGTATTTGTGGCAGATTTATAGATATATTACATATCTATAAATGAATCAGATATGCATGTTGTATATATTATTATTATTATTATTATATTATATTAATCTAAATTTTTTAATAGAAAGGCAGATGCAATAAAAATAGGCAAAATTTAATTTTTTAATGTTTAATAATAAATAAATAACAGTTGATGACATCGAGTCAATTTTGTAAGCTCAATCTTTTTAATTCCAATATATTTTTAAATATATCCAAATTATTTTTAAATAATCTGAATATACCAGTATATTAATCATCTGTTTAAAAGTAGTTTGTCTCACAGATTCGGCAACATCTTTATTTGCAATTATATTAATATACTGGTTACAGATTAATATGACAGAGGTTTTGTATACATTTAAAAATCCAATTCTCTTGAATTTATCAATTTTTTTCTACCGCCAACATGTTTTCGTATAATTTTATCTGTTCGTAGATCATTAAATGGCGCGTTAACTCATTTCACGGTTAGGTCGAGTTTATCGGCGTCGAATAATGGAATTAGACGGTCGATTTGTCGAGGAAGTGGTAGGAAGAGAGACAGAGAGAAAGTGGGAGTCGCAGACTCGCGCAATATCGCCACGTCTGAATAACTTTGGACTATCGGGAAGAGAGACGGGGGGATTAACTTATTATTATCTTCGCCGAGATTTCGAAATCCGAATCGGCCTGCTCAAAGAGATTCCATAAAGTTCGGAAAAGGGCAAGAAGTTCTCATCCGTTCTCCGGGGGAAAATCGAGAACTCGAGTATCCACGCGGCGTAAGTTTGTGCCGTAGTAGAGAACGACTTGAAAATTCTGAACTCTTTTTAGTCGGAACAAACTCGACTTTTTCCGTGCGAAAGAGTCCGCGAAAGTTCCATATTTTCGGGAATTTCGCGAGAGGAACAAATTTAATAAGTTCAAGTGCGCACGTACGCCGATGTCGAAACTCAATCGACGAGGCCAGCTAAAGTAATTCCCGGTCGGAATCGATCGCGTCGATGATTCACGCCTCGTTTCTTTCGATACTATAGGAATTGAAACCAATATAATATCTATAAATGTAATTTTCAATTCTATATCGGTATCGAAAAATAAGGGAATTTACTTACTATCACGAAAATAAATATAATGCTTGCTCTTAAATTTTTAATTTAGTAAAATTATATAGTCTACTTTTCGTGTTTTTATAAAGGTGTAAAAATGTTTTACACACGTGTGCGTTATTGACATTTTTAATTGATGGATTTTTACCAAACGATATTTTATCGAAAAAAACAAAAAATCCATTAAGTACTTATTGAAATTGCGATCCGTAAAAAGTTAATTGTGTGTTATGTGTGTGTGTGTATGTGTGTGAATATAAATGTGTCTATTTTAATTTTCACACAATTGATTAGTCTAAAAAAACAAAATTAAAATAGAATATTAAAAAAAAAACAATTTTCAATTTAGGTCAATCTATCCGCAATCTCTTTTTGATTTTCATACTTTGGAAAATATAAAAATCAACGTCAATTTCACATTTAACATCTTCACTCGTTAATTTTTTATGGGTCATATTTCTAATTCAGTTTCAGAATTTTATAAAGAAATTAAATACGAAAATAAATAATATTCTAGCAAAATATTTTTACTATTGCAACGAAACATTAAAAATTTCCTACGTTCCTCAAAATAAGATCATTTAATCATTTATCGGAATAACTAAAGTTCGAGAAACGAATAGAATTAAATAAAATATGAGAACAAAAAAAAAAAAATGATTTGCGAAAATAGGTTTCGAAAAAAATGTACAAGTATTTGACATGCAGACAAAAAAACTTTATGGGATTAATCCTCGCAGTGACGATCGTCAATCGCGAATTTTACGCACAGCATTCGATCATGATGGACGGCTTACGCGCGACGTTATTTTTTTCGTCGGGCACACCGAAATGAAATCCGCGGCGCGTCTATAAATTACGCGAAAATCGCGAATGGTCAACGTAGCATTATGCGAGTGGCGTTTAAACAGACCGATCTTCACAAAGAGATGACGGCGCGAGATTAATTGCGACGTAAACGCGCGAATAGAGAATGAGCCACAAAGAGAGAAGAGAGAGAGAGAGAGAGAGAGAGAACGGACGAAATACGCTTGAATTGTGCTGAATCTTTGTTTGGCGGATGCAGTAGCGGTTGCAATTTGTAAAATGAGCCTGTCGTGCCGGATGCGACCGTGCAAATATTGTAACGGATAATTGGCGCGATTTTGCGAGAATGCGCGTATCTCTCCTATCGTAACATTAAAATGTCGATTATTCGGGACGGGATACACGCGGCGCCTGTCATTTCGAGTTGCTTTCCCGGCAATTATTGTGTCATCCTCGCCGAAATGCAGTTGATATGTACCGACCCGTTCTTACTCGTCCCTCCTCAACGCATTCGCGTAATTTAAGCAGGTTAAAATGATGATCGATTTCATATATAATCGCGGTTTGTTAATGGAATGTTATTTTTAAACTTATCGCGCGGACACAATATCGCGTTTCGATATATTCGAATTTCAATATTGTTCGATATTTTCGCTTTATGCATGCATGATAAATATGATATTCTCGAAATACAGAATTCATACTTAATAATGCACATTATTCCGCCGTGTGGAAAGTTCATCGTCTAATTAATTACAATTGAAAATAATATGTAATATAAACTATAGAAACTGTAGACGCGTTTATAAATTCAACAATTTTAAAATATCACCGACAGATTATCTCTGACGTGGCTGCTGCTGTAAGCGCAGTCTTTCATTATACATATATTTATGATATGTATACAGCTACAAAAATTAATTAATGTCGGATATAACATCCAATATTTTCCAACACGGATATTTCCTAATAATTGGCTCCCGATGGGGAGATCCATCATAAGTATTCATTTTCCACGAGTATAGATTCGACATAAGCGAAAAAGCATCTCGCTCCTGCAGCGCGCTTCTGTTCATCCCCTTATTAAGCAATTTCACATGCACGTGTTTACGAGATGCACACGTCCGTGAGTAGTGAATCAGTGAATGCACAACACATGTATGAGAAAGAAAGAGAGAGAGAGAGATAAAGAGCGACTTAGTGCAACTGACAGAAAAAGGGAACCGAGCGAAAGGAGGAAAAGAGAAAGAGCGAGGTTTCTAATTCGGTGTCGTGGCAAAAATCGACACTCCGTCTAGACTATCGGTACTCTCTGCTCAGTCGTGTATGTCACTGGGAGAGAAGAAACCGGGGTGAAAGGAATAACGCAACGAGACGAAATGCATAGGGAAGAAGTACGAATGGGGATCGAGAAAGAGAGAGGATTAGATTTCTATTTATATATCGTATACGCACTCTTCGTTCATAGCTCTCTCGTTCTTAACTCTCTCTCTCTCTCTCCTTTCATCTCGTTACGTCTCTGCGGCTAGTTATCGCACCCTGTCCCGCCTCGTCCTTCATCCGACCTTTCTTTGACGGCGCGATCCATTTTCTAACGATGCTCCAGGCAGATGGACCCTCTTTCGCGTTTCAGTATACACGCATCACAAATCGGAGCGAATTCGGAGTCTTCGCGCGAATTGGATTCCGTATAGTTACCGAAAGACCGAGTCTCTCGTACGTGAGAGTAAGAGAGAGAGAGAGAGAGAACCGACTTATTCGTATATATATATAGTATATAGGGTTGAGGCTGCGGTTGCAGGTTGAGGTTGCCGTTATGACGAGAGCCCGAGATCT